AGGGACTTCAGAGTGTTGGTTGATGAGAAGCTCAACATGGACCAGCAATATGAACTGCCACCCCAGAAAGCCAACTGTGTCCTGAGCTGCATCAAAAGAAGCATTGCCAGCAGGTCAAGAGAGATGATTCTCCCCCTCTTCTCTTCTCTCATGAGATCCCACCTGCAGTGCTCAGTCCAATTCTGGAGCCCGTAGCACTAGAAGGGTGTGGAGCTGTTGGAGGGAGTCCAGACAAGGCCACAAAGATGATCAGAAGGCTGATGCACCTCTGCTCTGCAGACAGGCTGAGAGAGTTGAGGCTGTTCATCCTGGAGAAGAGAAAGCTCTGTGGAGACCGTAGAGCACCTTCAGTATCGAAGGAGCTACAGAAAAGCTGGGGAGGAGCTTTGGACAAGGGCAAGGAAGGATGGGACATGGGGTAATGGCTTCATACTAGAAGAGGGAAGATTTAGGTTAGACATCAGGAAGAAATTCTTCACTATAAGGGTGGTGAAAAACTGGTCCAGGTTGGCCAGGAAAGCTGTGGCTGCCCCATCCCTGGAAGTGTTCGAGGCCAGGCTGGATGGGGCTTGGACCAACCTGGTCTGGTGGGAGGTGTCCCTTCCCATGCAGGCGGGTGGAACTAGATGCTCTTTGAAGTCCTTTCCAGCCCAAACTATTCAGTGATTTGATGATTCTATCATTTGTGTCTCAAACTAAATTTCTTATGCAGAAGCTAGTCTGTAGCCCATCCTTTACTGATATTACATGTCTGATGAAACCAGAGATAGGTTCATCAGCTGAGAGTTTTCAAGCAAAGTAAATTTCTAAAGAATTTAAAGAGCAGTAGCCCCCTCAGAGATTTTCTAAGGAGACAGCATGACTCACAAATCTTTTGGAGTATTTGGAAGAAATTAATGAGCATATGACTAAGGGAAGTTCTTTTGTTGTGCAGTGTTTGACTATCCTAAAATTTAATCATCTATTTCCTTTCAACTGAAAATAAATTGAAAGATTTTCTTGTGCAATGATGTCTGATTGAAAATAAAGAATGAAGGAGTGAGTAAACAGGCACTGGAAGGAGATTACTCACAGAGTCCTAGCAAAATCTCTGCTGACATCCTGGCAGAGGATAAATAAGAAAGACAGCAAAATGTTTGGATAATCTAGGGAATATACTGAGCTTTGTTAAAATGGACTGAAGAGTTTAAATGGAAAGCTCCATGGTGAAGAAGGGCCTGGGGCTGCTGGTTGACAGCCAACTTAACATGAACCAGCAGTGTGCCGAGGTGGCCAAGAAGGCCAATGCCATCCTGGCCTGCATCAGGAATGGTGTGGTCAGGAGGAGTAAGGAAGTGATTGTTCCCCTGTACTCAGCACTGATGACACCACACTTCAAGTACTATGTCCAATTCTGGGCCCCTCACTACAGGAAGGATGTTGAGTTGCTGGAACATGTCCAGAGGAGAGCTACCAACTTGGTGAAAGGTCTGGAGAGGTCATATGAGGAGAGACTGAGGGAACTGGGATTGTTTAGTTTGAAGAATAGGAGGCTGAGAGGAGACCTCATTGCGTTCTATGACTACCTGAAAGGAGGTTGTATGGAGGTGGGAGTTGGCCTCTTCTTTCAAGTGAATCATGACAGGATGAGAGGAGATGGCCTGAAGTTGTGCCAGGGGAGGCTTAGCCTGGATATTACAAATAATTTCTTTACTGAAAGAGTGGTTGGACAGTGGAACAGGCTGCCCAGGGAGATGGTGGAGCCACCATCCCTGGAAATGTTTAAAAGAAATGTAGATATAGTGCTTAGCGGCATGATTTAAGCACTGAACAGGTAAATTAGGATATGGTAGGGGGATTTAGGTTATGGTTGGACTTCATGATCTTCAAGGTTCCTTCCAGCCAGGATGATTCGGTGATAAATGTATCTTGAAATACAGATTGATTATGAAACTAGAGGTTACATTAAATATGTTCAAGTTCAAGGTGAGACTATTTAAGAAAAACCTAGCCCTCATGATGCATGTGGAGGTGTCTTAGGAAGCAATAGCCTTGCTTGGGCTTCCTCAATACCCATCTGCCAGGCCTGTGCCTAGGAAGTTTCTCGGTTCATCAGCACTGCTATGGTCAGAGTAGGGTTTATTGCAAGTTCTCCAGACCACCTCATGAGTGTGAGCTCGTGTCCTTCAGGGAGCTGAAAAAAAGTGGTCCTCTAAAGACAGATCCTGGTGGTGTGTGTGCATATATTACACCATAAGACTAGTACTGTTTAGAAATTATTATCCAGTCTCCTGTTTGTTACGTTTGAACTGAACACCAAGGTAGAAAAGTATCTCAAATGCGAGTTTTAATTTTAAGAGCCGTAAGGTTTGTGCTTAACTCAAATTGAAAAACTGACAAACATGACAAAACAAAACTGGAACTGCAATTAAAATAAGCAGCTTGTACAATGAAGTACCTGTTCCCTGAAGGTAGGGATTTGCTTTGGATTTCAGGCATAATCCTCCTAAAGCTAAGGAAGGTAAACACTTCTGACCATATATGGTCATACCTGACAAAGTAGAGTTAAGTCCTGTACTTGGTAATTTAACTGCCTTCAATTTACAAAGAAAAATTCACCTTTCTTTTGTAAGGAATTCACACACATTGCAAATGCCGTTTAATGCATCTCAAGCATGAGAACTAACATACCTTCAAGTAAAAAAACTTTCCACAAAGTTCTGCACCTTAAACAGAGGCTGCTAAGAAAAAGAAAAAAGAGGACATTGACGTATCTTGCAAATCTGCCGAGGCTGGAATGTCTATAGGAGATCAAGTATCTTGGTGTCAAATACATGTTCTTTTGAAAATTATCTGCTAAAGCCAAATACCATTATTCTGGACCCCACTCAAAAGTGACCCTGATACATGCTGGGGCCATATACTCACAAAAACATTTTTCCAAGTAGGGCACTAAGTAACTCTAGCAGGGCAGGCAAGTGTCCTCATCACAGTGCTCCTCACTGTTAAAGAATATAGATACAGAGTATAACTTACACATTGTGTATTAAAACACCTGCCATGCCTACAAGCCTTCATTTTCAGCTCCTCTTGGAAACCTCTATTCCATTTTCTCACAACTTTATTTTTAAATAGTTATCAATCTACACCAGCTGATGGGGTGGTTAATGTCATGGTAAAGTCAAATCAGTCTTGTGTGCACATGTGTTTGTGCGTTACACATACACAGGATTGTGTGTACTTTGCTATTGTGAAACGACAAAGATATTTCAGTAAGTAAAGATATGAAACTTCTAAAAAAAGCATTTTTTATAGGAAAGTAGAGTAGCTGGCTTGCAAGCAGATGTGACAGTTTATACACCAAAGGAAATAATTTGGGTTAGATTAAAATATTTAATAAACAGAGCTGGTATTTGAATAGGTCTTTCGATTTTTATGTATCACATGATAACACAAGGAAAAATGTAATTTTTCCAAAACATGTGGGAATTCTTAATACATCCTTTATTGTGTCTGCCTATGCTGCTGACAAATATTTAGTTTTCTTCTGGCAGTACTATGCACCTGGCACAGCCGCAGGAGAGAGGTAAGGTTTTTTATATGTTGTGTAGCGTGAACAGAATTAACAGTCAAGTGCTGAATGCACCACCTTTATTACTGGGTAAGACATGATACAGAAAAGTAGAACTAGGACTTTAGATTCTTAGCCAAGCTTCATGGACTGTTAAAAATGTCGATTAAATCATCATATAGTGCAAGTCAGTCATTAATTTCAGTGGGCCCATATTTCATTTAAATGTATCCTGGATGTAAACCAGTTTTTTGCATTTAAGAAGTAACACATTCAGATCCCCACCTGTGTGAAGGTTTTAGGTTTTTTTCTCATAGCACAAGCATGGCCTTATCCATGGCCCTTGTTCCACAATCAGTTTAAAACTGTGATTTAGTTTGTGTTGGTCTTTATCAGTCACACCCAGGGATTGAATTGCCAGTGACTTTCAGCACTGTTTTGCTGCCACAGCTTCTGCTGAAAGCAGCAAATTATACTGGTCACTTTTTCTTCTCTGTACCTTTAAATGAAATAATTAAATTGTTTGTTACTTTCTGCACATATGGTGTTAGGATTTCATAGCAGTAGCACTTCAGAGTCCTTCTCAGGTACTATTTTATGTGAAGGACTGCCAGGCTTCTGAGAAGTCCTAAACTGTAAGTAAAAATCTGCTTATTCCTGTTGTGTTCAAAATTGCTGAAGTGCAGTTGACTCACAAAGCACAACTTCTCTGGGGCAACTGAGCAAGATTGCCTGCTAGAGTAGTTCCTGCAGTTAACTTTCTCTTTATATTCTGCATCAAAATTGACTTGGGGAAAAAAAATATTTTGTATTTACTTGGAGGTGGCTGTGAGTATTTTAATAGTAGGAATAAATTAATTATGATTACCACACCTAAAATTATGAACATTTGAACATGACAGTTAAATCCCTATTTTGAGGTTTGCTGAATAAATGTATAAAAGCTGTAACTTTGATGTAACTGACCGATATAATGTGTCTAGTTTTGTATTTCAAAAGATAATTGCAATAACAATATTTATCATATGGGGCAAATTCTAACCTCTGTGGCAAGAGCAACATACAGAACTTCGCAGTAATTACAGAATCTAAAATTTGCTTTTAGCAGTTGTTTTGATATTTGAATCTATATATCATTTTCTTTCATTGCACCTGTAAAACCCGAACCCACTACTCTTCATATAGGATAAACTAAAAGAAGTTGAAAGCTTAATCTAATTCATTAATTTTGCAATGGGAAAAGTTATTTACAATTAGTATTTTTGTACTGATTTTGGTTTTTTTTTTTCCATTTCTGCAAAAGGAACACTCAGTTCAACTGCTTTAAATGAATATAATTAACATAACATTTAGGATCTGTTTGTACACTATTTCTAATAACAGCCACTTGGGACCCAGAAGAGTTGGCCATTTCAGTTGCATTAATTTCTTTTCTTGTTTCCATTTGCAGGATGCTCTGGCCCACTAGGGATAGAAGGAGGAATTGTGTCAAACCAACAAATTACTGCGTCATCTACTCATCGAGCTCTTTTTGGACTCCAGAAATGGTATCCATACTATGCACGACTTAATAAGAAGGGTCTTGTGAATGCTTGGACTGCTGCAGAAAATGACAGATGGCCATGGATTCAGGTAACAGATGGAGTTGAGGAAGAAAAAAATCTGCTTGATTCAATTGCCAGAGTCACTTAAGAAACTGATGGAGACAAGTAGTAAACTAACAGCTAGAGTCTTCTTCACTATCAGAAATGTAGCTCAGACTAAAAGTTGCAAAACGGTAATTGGCTTAACAAATGCACATATCTTTTTTTATTAAAAAAATATTTGCTTGTGTTCCATTGTGTTTCTAAACTATGGAAGCAAATTTATAAAGACTATTTTCAAGGAAGCTATTTTCCACACATGTCACATTTGCTTATTAAGTCCTTAGTAGCATTTCACAGCAGTATCTCAAGGTGGAGGTACTTTGATGAATGCCGCCTTCCCTGAGCATCATTCTAGAGTGCTTTAAAGGGGTTTTGGCAGTACCAGAGCCTTCAGGAATAGTTTGTCCTCTCTGCTGAGCTGCTCTAAGCACACAGGTTAAGCATTGTGTGCATCATGCTGGAAGTAACAAGAACTGTTTTAATTAACATCTAAATAGCTGCTAGTTCAGCCACATCTGTGGGGCTGAATTTTTTTTTCATTTCCACTCAAGGGTGTTATTGCTAGAAAGATTTCAAAGACAGTGACCTCTTTGTGAACAGGATTTCTCTGCACCCAGCAAATTACTTCAGTAAAAGTCATGAAGCAATGAATATGAAGCCCCATGGCTCCATTTTGATGAAGATAATGATTATCTAATGATTGCTGTAGCTCTTTACATTTATGGTGGTTTCTTTGCATGATATGTGAATTGGGCTAAGCTTTGGCATTTTCAGCTGTTAGTTAATAAAGGTGTTAGGTATTTACAGGAAAGCCTTTTGTGCTTATCAGTATAGGCATTGTGTGAAGAGGGTGCTTCCCTCCCAGTGAACCCACCACAGGAACAGCAAAAGCATCTTGTCTACCAGCACTAACTTGAACTGTCCATATGTTGTCCCTTGGATTTGTCAGACACGGTCTTCATGAAGTCACTTCCATGTACATGGCATATTTTTTGTTCATATATTCAAGTTTTTCTAATAACTGCTGTTTGTGGTTTTTCTGAGCAGTTCTGAGATGTTTGTGGAAAAAGTATTCAGGATTACTTGTTCAGCTGGTGTGGTGAGAGTTCTGGATATTGTCAGTTCTGAAAAATTAAGACATTGTTATTTTTGGTTTGTTATTCACTGCAGAATGAAAACGCAAATGCCCTTCAATGACTCTTAAGTCAGCCATCTTCCATAAAGAGTAGGAGATCTGTAAAATTTACACACTGAAAAAAAATGTGAAAGAATAGCAGAATTATTTTTACAGGAACAGAAAATAATATCACTTTAATGAATAATGAAAAAAATGTTACAGCAGCTTTTGGACTACTTTAGAGTGTGGGCTTTAATAAATGAGCTAGAGAAAAAACTCAAAATAATTTCTCATTGCCCCTCTAAACATGACTTTCCTAGGAAATTAACTGGATGCAGATGGCTAATGGTCTATTGCTTTCATGTTTGTACTTGGCACAGTCACTACTCACCATAGAGTCAGTGGTCAGGCAGCTGTGCAGGTTTCCATTCAGCCCAGAATTCATAGAATCACAGACTCATAGAATGGTTTGGGTTGGATGGCACCTTGAAAATAATCTAGTTTCAACCCCCCTGCCATGAGCAGAGGCACCTTTCACTAGACCAGGTTGCTCCAAAGCCTATCCGATCTGGTCTTCAACACTTCCAGGTATGGGGCAGCCATGGCATCCCTGGGTAGCTTGCTCCAGCATCTTACCACTCTCACAGGAATGTATACCTTCCCAATGTCTAACCTAATCTCCCTTCTTCCAGTTTGAAACCATTACCATTTGTCCTATCACTCCATGCCCTTTTGAAGAGCCCCCCCCCCCAGCTTTCCTGGTATTGGAAGGTGCTCCAAGGTCTCCCTGGAGCCTTCTCTTCTCCAAGCTGAACAGTCCCAACTCTCTCAGCCTGTCTCCATAGCAAAAGTGCTCCAGCCCTTTGATCATCTTTGTGGCATCTTTTGTACTTGCTCCAGCAGTTCCATGTCCTTGGATTAGGGACTCCAGAACTGGACATAGTACTGCAGGTTGGGTCTCATGAGAGCTGAGTAAATTGTGTCTGCCTTGGTCTTCTCTCCCAAGGAAGTCTTCCCATTGCTCTTACCTGGAAGGAAGGTTGGACCAAGGGTGAAAATGCATATCAGGTTTAAACAATTTCTTCTTTTTGGAAGTTAATGACCTAATCTAGGTAGAACTAATTCCAGGCATGCTATTTTGCAATTTTGACAGCCATAGCAAGTAGTACTTTCTATGAGCTAATTAAGTGATACGATCAATGTGTACTAAGCACCTATCATTCACTTCTTTTTATTTTTCTTTAGAAGTAAACTTTGGTCTATAATGTTCATAAAACTTGCCAAGCAGTTTATTTTTCTTTTTAGTTCAGAGTAAAAGTAAAAATATACTGTAAGTTAAAAACAAGTGTAAATCTTGAGAGATTTTTTTTCCTTCTCTGAATAATTTTCTCCATAAAACACTTGTGAACAGAAAATCCAGCTTTGTAAGGGTGATGGTACTTGCAGAGAAAAAATGCTTTTTAGTTTTCTGCAGAAACCCTGTTTGGATTTGGCAAGCATTCAGACCTCCACAAACTGACATTTTATGCACTGCATAGTAGTTCCTTACATCAGAGCACTGTCTTGTTCTTCAAGCATGAAATACACTCTAGGAGACAGACATTGCCTGACCCTTATATGGGTGAATAATTTCTGTTCAGAGACGAGGAGAAGCAGATATCCCATATCTTATTTTTCAACCTCTTCCATAATGGCCAGAGAGAGACTTCCTGAGCATTTGTAGAAGGTTACAAAAAGTCAGCTCACTCTGATTTGTGATAAGTTTATGGCTACTTTCTTTTTGGTCTTGTGGGAGAAATAGTCTCTTCAACAACAAACAGCCTATACTCTTCAGTTTTTACTTTCTTTATTGTATCACCAGCTGCTTCCTGGATCCTAATTTGAGGGACCTTTTCCATGCTGGTCTGAGAGACAGATCAGCTGATCCAGGAGATGGCTCCTGAAATACAGTGTGAATGTTTGGCAGAGATATAAGTGGAAAGTTAAGAAGCCAGAAACTCCATATTTATGACATGTAATTTAAGATTTTGCACAGTGAACCTAAAGCAGTAGCCTGTTACCATCTTACAGTTTCTAATGCTAGATAAATTCTTAAGCAAACTGTATACAATGAGCAAAGTCTTGCAGAGCCTAAGTACATCCAGGTCTTTAGCTATTTTTGCCTTGTTCCATTATTATCAGTTTTCTTTGTCATTTAATTTCTTTATTGATATGCAGCTTGGAAAATGAAAGGTTTGAGTCCTTTGCTTATAACTCACTTGTAATGAGTGCAGAGTTTTTTCTCTAATCTTTCAGCTTACACACATGAACTAATTAGTATGCAATTTCATTTTCCTGCATTCTCCCAATGAACTGAAAATTGAAATTGCCATTTTAAATTTACACTCTCAGCATGTAATTAGTAATGACACTACGATGCTTGTAATTGACTTGTGATTTAAAGGGTCAGTGACTGTGTTTTTGAAAGCAAATTAAAGTCAGAGTAAGTCATATATCCCTTTTAGAGTTCTGCTGACCTCTGTTTCTCCTCATAGGTTGTCTGTGATAAAATAGCACCTGTGTATACTGCTTACAACTTCATTAGTGACACTAACTTTTGATGTTTCCAAACACAATGAGAAAAAATCCCACATTTTTATTTTTCATTAATTGTTCATGACATATAACCAAAATGGTCACTTTGGCAGAAGGATGCTCTCAAGGACAGAGACACCAAGAAATCTGAATATTGCGCTGTAAGATAATAGTCTTGCTTTTTTAGTCCTCTAATGTAGGTATGGTCTTTTTTTTTTTTTTGCAAGTAATGCAAGTGCAATGGGTTCTTTCGTCATAGATGAACCTTCCTAAATGGCTCTTTGCTCAACAATGGACAAGGAACTCACAGGAGAACTTCAGTGACTCCTGCCACTGCTGGGCTGGGTTGGGTGGTCAGTACACCTGGGACCCCTAAGAGTATCAACCTCAGAAGTACATGACAGTTCTGGAAAAAAGTAAGAAGGCAGGTGTACAATAACAGACATTAGATAAAAGGCTAGACAGCAAAAACCTGGGTGTGCAGTGAAGCTTAGCAGAAAGCATTACACAGCAAATATTGGAGCAGTTGGCAAAGGTGGTGTTTCAAGTCAGGAGGGCTCAAGGAAAGTTTTGGTTACTTTTATTTTCTGGTCATGGCTTTTGCCAGCCATGTAAGGAAGGAGTGGAAGAGGTCAGTGCCTGCTGTTTTCCATGCAGTGGCTGCTGTTGTTGGGCTATCAGATCTGAGAAAAAGAAGTCCCTTAGCTTCTGCTGTTCCCCTGAGTGTGATTGTGGAAAGGATCCATGTGAGCAGTGTGCCTGATGATGCACTAATTTATTTGAGTGGAGTACAAGAAACTACCAACTCTTTTTAAACTGCTTTGTGGTCTCTTAGGCATGAAATTATTTACATAGTCAATATTAACCAATAACCACCAAGAGCAGATTTTGGCATGTCTGAAGGGTATTAAGAAAATCAACTAATTGCTGGGTATCTTACCACTTTGTGGGAATCATGATTGAACACCTGAACTGTTGCTGGACACAGTATTATATAAATATAAGTTATTAAATAGAAAAAAACAAAAAAAACTATTTTGTTGCCTCTCATTAAAATAGCAGCAGCCAGTTCATCAGAGACATTAGTACAGCTACCAATGGCCTGTTAAATAAAATATGGAAATATTTTATTATTATGTGAAGGAGGAGTTTTTGTTTACAAAACAGCAGGATCACTCAGTTTGGTTGCAAAGTCAACAAAAAGGGAAATAAAGTAAGTTCAGTTTGAGTAGTTAACTTCCCCCCTAGTTTTTATTGCACATGAAAAGAAAATATTGTTTTGGGTTTTTTCCTCT